ATCCCTTGTCTGGTACGCGTCATTTATTTGATTGGATGTACGATTGCGGAGCAACTCATCATATGACAGGGTTCCTGGAGTTTATTTCCGATGTTCGGGATATTCCCGCCCGTCCGGTTCAATTGCCTAATGGTTCATTGACTATGGCTAGTAAGGCTGGGACTGTTTATCTGGGATCTCATATCACTCTTTATGATGTTTTATATGTTCCCAGCCTTCGATGCAGCTTGATTTCATTATATCAATTGTTGGATCGTTCTGGCTGCACCGCTCAGTTTACTAACAAATCTTGTGTTATTCGGGACCACAATTCGCAGAAGGTAATTGGCGTAGGTGAGCAGTTGGGAGGTCTCTACTTTTTTCGAGAAACGGTTTCTATGGCAGTTTCATTTGTTCGGAAGGTTTCTGCCGATGTGTGGCATCAACGTTTGGGTCATCCGTCTGCTCAAGTATTGTCTCAGGTTCCTGTTATTGACTCTAGTTCTCGTAATTTTCATAGATCGTGTGATGCTTGTTTTCGTGCTAAACAACATCGTCGTAGTTTTCCTCTCAGTCAGACTGTTAGTCACGAGATTTTTCATTTAATTCATTGTGATTTGTGGGGTCCGTATCGTGTTCCGTCCTTCTGTGGTGCACGATATTATTTTACTATTGTGGATGATTGTTCACGTGAAACATGGGTTTATTTATTGAATGATAATACGGAGGTTGCTTCCACATTGCTGAATTTTTTTCTATGATTAAGCGACAATTTGATAAATTGGTGCGTGTTGTTCGTAGTGATAATGGAAGTGAGTTCATGTGTTTGGCCTCTTATTTTCGTCGTCAAGGAATTGTGCATGAGACTTCTTGTGTAGGCACTCCTCAGCAGAATGGGCGTGTAGAACGCAAACATCAGCATATTCTCAATGTAGCTCGAGCTTTGCGTTTTCAGGCTCATTTGCCTCTTCCTTTTTGGGGTCATTGTGTTTTGACTGCGGTCTATTTGATCAATCGGACTCCTTCATCGGTTTTACATGGTAAAACCCCATATGAGATTCTTTATGGTTCGGCTCCTTCTTTGTCTAATTTGCGGGTTTTTGGTTGCCTTTGCTATGCTCATAACCAAGATCGTAATGGTGACAAGTTTGCTGCTCGGAGTCGTCGTTGTCTATTTGTTGGTTATCCTTTTGGCAAAAAGGGGTGGAGTTTGTATGATTTGGATCGTCAGATTTTCTTTGTCTCTCGCGATGTCGAGTTTCTTGAGGCTGAATTTCCATACCAGTCAGACTCGTCTGAGCCAGATTCTTTGCCACCGCCTCTTATTGTGCCCGTGTCTTATACGCCAAATGATGATGAGGATCTTCCGGTTGTTCCTTTGCCTCATGTTTCTCCTGATACTGGGTCTTCTGCTACTGATATGGACACGTCTGACGATAGGCGGTTCCGTTACCACTACCCCTCCCACTCTTTCAGTGGAGCCCTTGGGTCGTGATCATCGGACTAAAGTTCCTTCCACTCGGCTGAAGGACTTTGTGGTTGACACTGTCCGACCCTCGAGTGAACCCCCCACTGTTTCTCCCCAGTCGTCTTCATCCTCCGGTACACCTTATCCCATAGCACATTATGTTTCTTGTGATTCATTCTCTCCAGCTCATCGAACCTTTTTGGCTGCTATCGCCTCTGTTGTTCAGCCTCGCACTTTTGCTGATGCCGTGACTGATCCTCGATGGCGAGCCGCTATGCAGGATGAGATTCGTGCCTTGGAGAATAATGGCACATGGGATGTAGTTTCTCTTCCATCTAGGAAGCGTGCGATTGGGTGCAAGTGGGTCTTTAAGATCAAGCAAAAGTCTGACGGTTCTGTTGAGCGCTATAAAGCGCGTCTGGTGATTTTGGGCAATAATCAGGTAGAAGGTCTTGACTATCACGAGACATTTGCTCCCGTTGCCAAAATGGTTACAGTCCGGTTATTCTTGGCTGTCGCTGCTGCTAAGCATTGGGAAGTTCACCAGATGGATGTTCACAATGCTTTTCTTCATGGTGATTTGGCTGAGTAAGTTTACATGAAGTTTCCTCCTGGTTTTCGTTCTGGCGTTGATGGGCAAGCTTGTCGTCTTCGTCATTCCCTCTATGGCTTGAAACAGGCCCCCAGCTGCTGGTTTGCCAAGTTGACTACGGCTTTGAAGCAGTATGGTTTTTGTCAATCCTATCACGACTACTCTCTTTTTACACTGCATCGTGATTCTGTCCATCTGCAGGTTCTGATCTATGTTGATGCTCTGATTGTTTCTGGGAATGACACCACATCCATTGCAGCCTTCAAGAGTTAGTTGAGTCGTTGTTTTCACATGAAGGATCTTGGATTGCTTAAGTATTTTCTGGGTATCGAGGTTGCCCGGAATTCTTCTGGATTCTTTCTCTGTCAGCGGAAGTATGCTCTTGACATCATAGCTGAGGTCGGATTACTAGGGAGCAAGCCAGCTTATTTTCCATTAGAGCAGAATCATCAGCTACCTCGTGCTGAGGGTGATCTATTGTCTGATCCGAGCGATATCGTCGTTTAGTCGGACGTCTTATCTATCTGGCAATGACTCGACCTGAGTTGTCTTATTCGGTGAATATGCTCTCTCAATTTATGCATCAACCGCGTCAGGCTCACTGAGACTCTGCTCTGCGTGTGGTTTGATATTTGTAAAGCTCTTCTGGTCAGGAGATTCATCTTCGTACTGACTGCGATCTTCAACTCTATGCATGGTGTGATTCGGATTGGGCGTCTTGCCCTCTCACTCGGCGCTCTCTTTCTGGTTGGTTTATTCAGTTGGGCCAGTCTCCTGTTTCTTGGCGAACCAAGAAACAACCTACTGTCTCACGCTCTTCTGCTGAGGCTGAATATCGGGCGATGGCTACTACATTGTGCGAGTTGAAGTGGTTGCGGGGACTATTATCTACTCTTGGTGTCGCTCACTCTCAGCCTATGCGGTTAAACTGTGACAGTCAGTCTACACTGCATATTGCGGCGAATCAGTTTTTCATGAGCGGACTAAGCACATTGAGGTGGATTGCCACTTTGTTCGAGATGCTGTTCTTCAGGGCCTCATTTCTACTACTCATGTCCCTTCTGGGGAACAGCTCGCTGACATCTTCACCAAGGCGCTTGGGAAGCGCAAATTTGATTTCTTTCTTGACAAGTTGGGCATTCGGAATCCGCATGCTCCAACTTGAGGGGGGGTGTTATTGTGTATAGTGTAATTACTATATTAGCCTTAGGTTCTCTTTAGCTAACTGTACCCTAATTTTGTGTATATATATTCATAGTTAATAGAATATTGAATCATCCAATTGAGATGATTTCACCCCAAAACTTTGTGTCGTCTCTCTCGTATCAAGAACTTTGAGCGAGGCGCGATACTAGATTATTTATTTTTGTCGTTTTAATAGATAATTGTATGATAAAATAATATAATTTAATTTAAAAAATATAAATTTGCCGATTTTTAGCTATCAAACAAGTAACTGTTTGGAATCAACTTGGCTCAATTACGGGCATGTAGTCCAAAACACGGGCAGGGTCACATCCCAACCTGGCCCACCGAGCCTCCAGGGCTCAAAAACGGGAACCCGGACCCGGCACAGACCTATGCTCGTGCCGGGTCAATGGCCCGGATAACCGGGTCGAGCCGTGTCTGCCGGGGTCGTCATTTTTTAAATAAAAATATAGAATATTATATATATAAAAAAAAAAACTGGCCACCGACCCAGACGTGGCCCGGCGAGTCATGAAAGAATGACCCCGAAACGGTCCGTCAAAAATCTGGTGCGGGCTCAAACCGTGGTCAACGGGTTAGACGGGACCAGGGTCCGTGCCCCTTAAATTTACCAAGCACCCTTTCTTCATATTTTTCTTATTCTTTATCTTTTAATTTACTTTGTATTTTATTTTATTTTATTTTATTATTATTATTATTATTATTATTATTATTATTATTATTATTATTATTATTATTATTGTTGTTGTTATTACTACTATTATTTTGTAATACATAGCATGTGCTTATCACACCAATCAGAAATCTCAATCATCAAAACTCAAAATGTAAAATGTCATACAAAAATGTAATGTTTTTTTTCCCAACAACTACACTCATTAATTTTTTATTTTTTTTCAACAACTACACTCATTAAGAGCAACTCCACATGCGTAAAACACCACAAATTTAGCATAAACCTATTCCAACGCGGGCCAATATTTGTACTGAAGTTGTACAAATATTTTGTATTTAATATATATATATATATAAGTTTAAAAAAAAAGTAAATGAATATCTCATCAAATCAAATTATATACATCAAACGAAATACAATAACATGACTAGTTCAAATAACATAAAAAATAATAATTGAAGTTCAAAAGAAAAGTTTTTATGTCATGAACTTTTTTTTATTATTAATACAAAACTATTATAATGCACATGGTGAAAAAAAAAAAAAAATATAAAACTAATGTACAAAAATTAAATAAACAATCCCAAATGGAACTTTCAAAAGTCTAAAATAAATTAAAATAAAACTGCCGGTGTGCGACTCGAGTCAATCAACGGATTAGTCGAGACATAGGTCCGAATACCGTGGTTGGTAACCAAAAATAAAATAAAATAGACAGTCCACGTCCCAATTTTCAAAAGATTTTGCGTACGCGTTTGAATGATTGGAGATATATAAGGTCTTTAGATAGACATGATTGAATGTACAAATGAAACAAACGAGCTGGACAATATATAAGATCAGAGAAAGATTAGAGGAGTAATTATTAACCTTTCCTGGCCGGCAGTGTCCCAGATCTGAGCCTTGATAACCTTGTTTTTGATTTTGAGAGTTCTTGTCTGAAACTCAACCCCAATTGTGGACTTTGAGTCTAAGCAGAAGTCGTTCTTCGCGAACCTCGACAACAGCTGGGTCTTTCCGACCGACGAGTCGCCGATCACCACTACTTTGAACACATACTCAACCCTGATCTCTTCTTCATTTTCTAGCTCCACCGAGATTTCGTGTTTCTTCTTCATCTCTTCCTTCTAATTTTTTTTTTTTTTTTTTT